TCTCAGTCCCCACCTCCCTCATGGATCAGCCGCCTCCGATGTGAAATCACCTCTCTTAGAGCCCAGCCTTCTCTTCCCGAGCACCTCTCAGGTTAATGGCTCGAGATCTGGGCGAGAGCAGTGGCTCACGCCTATAATCCCAGCATTTTGGGAGGCCGAGGCGGTCGGATCATGAGGTCAGGAAATCGAGACCATCCTGGCTAACACGGTGAAACCCCGTCTCTACTAAAAGTACAAAAAATTAGCCAGGCGTGGTGGCATGCGCCTGTAGTCCCAGCTACTCGGGAAGCTGAGGCAGGAGAATCACTTGAACCCGGAAGGCGGAGGTTGAGCCAAGATCGCGCCACTGTGCTCCAGCCTGGACGACAGAGAGACTCCACATCAAAAAAAAAAAAAAAAAAAAAAAGGCTCGGGACCAGCCACCTCAAGACCCTGGAGTCCGGACTCTCAGTCCTACCAGTCTGCGCTCGGTGGTATAGCACATAGGCCTCCTCGTCCATGACCAGCTCCTCCCCTTCGCGTAGCGGCGGCCCCCGGCCGGGCAGGTAGACCTGGACCGGGCCCTCGGAACTTGTGTCGCGGGACTCGGCCTCCGTGGGTTCCCTGGTTTCACACGTGCGCCGCCGACCTTTGCGCGCCGCCATCTTCGAACCCTCTTACCGCCGACGCCCGGTAAGAGCGTCACTTCCGGGTTTCGCCTTCCGTCTTATGAGATCCGCCGTACTGCGCGGTTACCTTGGAAACCTCCAGGACCGCTAATTACAGACGGTAGTGCGTAAAGACTGGAGAACTCAGGTAATGGCGCCAGCGAAAGAAGACTGAGGATACGGAGAAACTGTATCTTCGCGTGACTTTGGGTGCTGTTCCTCACCGTAGTGGCAAGGGCTTCTGGGAGTTGTAGTTCTAAAGGAGGCCCGTTATGCCCATCTTTCACTTTGATTCCCAGAGCGTTCTTTCTACTTAATTATTCATATTATGCAAATTTGCTCCCTCACTGGCAAAGAGACTGGGTTTCTGCTCCCTGAGGACCCATAAGGCTGGTTTCTTCTCCTCTCCCTGTTATGATGGCTTTAACTTATTTCAAAAATGCCTTCCTGTAGATAGGATGGATATTATCTGTAAGTTAGGCGGTTCAATCTACCCTCTAGGGGCCGTCAATTGCCTAACTAGACATTTCCATTGCAGCTCTGGTCAGCGAGCACTTAATCAGATAGTCCACCCTCAGGGGGCAGCTATTACAAGTGATTCGACTCTCTTTATCGTCCATCAGCACCAGCGGTTTGGCTAATTGACATAATGAAATGTTAGAAATAGATTCTCATTGGTGAGATTAACAGCATTCAAGATAATGCGGATTGGCTGGGATATGTCAGACACTCTCCTAGCTTGCATGAACAGGTTATTAAGAATCTAGCAAGCCTTGGTGCCTATAGCCATAGGAAATAAAACCATACCTTTGATCCTAATATGTTTTGTCTCCGGGATCTATCTCACCACTTTCTTGGGGTCTCTATCTGTCCCAGTACCCTCTCGATTTCTCTTTTCAGGGTCTCTTCCCACTGCCTCTTTCTTGGTCTTTGTCTCCCCGCCTCCTTTCAGTCTCTGTTCTCTCTAATAATATCTCCTCTTCCCGTGGGAATTTTGTGTTTCTGTTTCCCCCAGAGAAGTTGAGGGGGGCTAACAGACACGGAGCTCAGGCTTGGACTGAGGAGGCATAAAAACATGGTTTATTCCAAACACTGCAATGTGGAATAGAAGAGTGGGAAGGGAGGTTGGTGAAGTGTGGACTCCCAGACCCTCCCCTCCGCAACCCAGCCCCAGACCCGGCTGGAGATCTGGAAAGAGGAGGCTTTTTGGAGGTCTGCTGGGTCATCACTGAAGGGTCGCAAATAAGGGTTGGATTTGGAGAGGATGTGGTTGGTGGCAAGTGGGGTGGTCGAGATGTGAGAGGCAGGTTGGGAAGTTTTGGCTTGAGGGAGGTTGGGTTCATCGCGGTGCAAGGGTTGGTGGGGCTTCCGTTGGGGACGTGTCCTAAGTCAGAGTAAGGAAAAGAGCCCGAGGGTTGAAGAGGAGGAGGGGGTGTCACGGTTTGATGTCAAGGGTCACAGTCTGGTCGGGGCACAGTCTGGGGTTCGGGTCACAGTTTGGGGTCAGGGGTCACAGTCTGGGGTCGGATGACCATTTTAGGAGTCGGATGTCACAGTCTGGGTCAGGGGTTTCTGTGCCGCGGGGCCAAGGTCTGGGGTCACAGTTTGGCAAACGCGTCTCACAGTTTTGAGTCCTGATGGATGAAAGGTTAAAAACGGGCTTCCCCGGAGGCGTGGCTGGGGCCGGGGAGCTGCACAGTGATGTGGGGGCCACGGCCCGGGGCATGGAGGTGGGACGCGAGAGTGGCGTGACGCCCCACCTCCCGCCCCATCTGGTGACGTTAAAAAGCCCTTGTCGGGTTTAAAAAAAAGTCCGGTGGGCTCCGAGGCCCCCACCCCCTCATTCTCAGGCTGGGTGATAACTGGGGGACCAAATCCTCTTCGGCTCGCTATTCCTTCAGAACGAGGGGGCACAGGACGCTGCTCCAGGCGGGGTCCGGCCAGTTCCGCTGCTTTCCTTCCCAATCCACGCGGGTCCTATCCACTGCGGGCGCCCCCTCGGGCCGTGGCCTGCGCTGACCAAGGGGGCGGTGGGGCCCCCAGGGCCGCGTCATACCTCGGACTCCAGGCTGGAGAAGTGCGCCGAGCCCCTGCGGGTGCCCAGGTCCCCGCCCCGGTGTCTGCGGTGGGACGCTGTGGGCAGAGGCGGCCCCCAGTGTGCCGCGTGCGGGCACCTGCGAGCGTGGCGGGAGGGCCCGGTGAGCCTGCGCGCCTGGGCGGCACGGGGACACGAGCTGAGGTCCTCGAGCGAGCGCGAGGTGGGCGCGGGCGGCGGGAGGTCCCAGCCCCCCCGCGGCGCGCCGGTGCCGGTGGTGGTGGGGTGCGGCGGCGGCGGGCGTGCGGTGGGAGGCCCGCGGGCGGTGTGGGTGCGACCGTGGACACCCGCAGCGGGCCCGGCGTCGGGGCGGGGGCCCGGCGGCCCAGGGCGGAGGCGGTGGCGCCCACCAGCCGCCGTCCAAGCCGTCGTGCGAGCAACTGAGATGGCGCGGCGGCGGCAGCAGCTCCAGACTGGCGCAGTGGCGGCAGTGCCAGGCAGCGGGACCGCTGCGCGGGGGCAGGTAGTCCCAGCTCCCGGCGCGCCAGCCCCCAAGCTTGTCTACCGACCAGTAGCGGCCGGGAGGGGGCCCGAGGCGCTCGGCGTATGGGTAGGGGAAGTCGGCGAACCACCAGGGCTCCAGGCCTCCCAGCGACGCGCCGCCCAGACTCTCCGAGTCCTCCGAGTCCGACGGCGACGGCTCGAGGTCGAGGTAAGGGCAGGGGGGCGGCGCTGCGCGGCATGGGGGCGGCGCGGCCGGGGCTCCTCCGCCCGCGCCCCCGGCGCCGCCAGCGCCCCCCGCGCCGGGTCCCAGCAGGGGCTGGCTCTCCGGATCTGAGCGTGGCCACCGCGCGGGCGCCGGCGGGCTCTCGTCCTCGAAGGCCAGGCGGCAGAGTGGCGGCCCGACGGCGGTGGCCGCGGCGGCGGGGGGCGCGGGCGGCGACGGGAAGCCAGGGAAGGCGCCGGCGGGGGGCTCGGCGGGCTCCTTGTCGCGCACGATGGCGAAGTAGGAGGGCGGCGGCTTCTGCGGAGGCTGCGCGGCCGGCGGGGACAGGGGGCGCCCGGCCGCGCCCCGGGGCGCCGTGCGCGCCTCGCCCAGGCCCAGGCCCAGGCCCAGGCCCTGCGGCTCGATGGGGCCGTAGTAGCGGTGGAAGCCGTCTGCCAGGCCCGTGCCCCCCGGCGGCCCCGCGCCCTTGGTCCGGCGCCAGCGGTCCACGGGGGCGCGCTCGCGGGGCACGAAAGGCGCGGGCCCGGGCGCCGGCCGCGGCGCAGGGTACGCGGGGCTGGGTAGGGGCTGCGGCGGCGGCGGAGGCTTGGCTGGCGGCGGGGCGGCCTCGGCGCTGCAGCAGCTGTACATGCCCTGCGGGCCCAGGGACAGGACGAGGTCAGCGCGGGGTGCCCGGGACGTCTGCCTGCCTCCCCAATTTCCCCCCACCCTCGTGCCTCCTTCCTCTCCATTTCCCCGCCTGCTTCTTTCTTTTCTTTGAGAGGGAGTTTTGCTCTGTCGCCCAGGCTGGAGTGCGGTGACACGATCTTGGCTCACTGCAATCTCCGCCTCCCGGGTTCAGGCGATTCTCCTACCTCAGTCTCCGGAGTAGCTGGGATTACAGGCACCCCCCACCACGCCCGGCTAATTGTGTTTTTAATAGAGATGGGGTTTCACCATGTTGGCCAGGCTGGTCTTGAACTCCTGACCTCAGGTGATCCGCCCGCCTCGGCCTCCCGAAGTGCTGAGAGTACAGGCCTGAGCCACCGCGCCCAGCTTCCCTGCCTGCTTCTCCCACTGTCTTCTCCACTATCCCTGTCTCGACCCGCAACTCCCCATCTCCGCCCGGCTTTACTTTCTTCCTTCCCCCTTCCATCTCCCCGACATCTCTCCCTTTCGGCCTCCCTCTCTGCCCCGTACCCTGGAGAAGGCCAGCAGGAAGTCCATGCGGTGGGTGGGTCCCAGGCAGTGCCGCAGCCGCCAGTACACCAGGTGCTCCCAGGCGAAGACCAGCAGGGACAAGCCCATGGCCACCAGGAGCATGTAGAAGACGCCCGCCATGTTGTCGATGTCCAGCTTGCTGCTCATCACCTCGATTTTGTCATTGTGGCAGATCCCAGAGAGCCACAGCCGCTCCAGCATCTCGATCTCATCTGGGGAGGGGCGGTCAAAAGTCACCTGCTATGAGCATCCTCTGATGACCCTCGCCAGTGAGGTGGGAATGTAAGCCCTTCCTTAGCCCCTTCCTCCCTTAGACCCTGGTGTCCGGGTTTTCGCCCATTTCTTCCCCGGAACCCAGCGGTCTCGCCCTCCCCCTCTCCGCTGTAGAAATCCCTTCGCGAAGCCGCACCGTCCCCCAGGAACTGCAGCAGAGCCAGGTCGATGGGCCGCTTCCAGCGGGAGCCCTTGTGCAGGGCGATGCCATAGCCTGTCGTGGCGAAGACCTTGCCGGAGCCAATGGTGACAAGCTTGCAGCCCTCGTCTTTGCGGGCCATGTAGTTGAGCACTGCAGCATCATAGATGAAGGCGTCCAGCTTCCTGCAGGGAGGGGGAGTGGAGGGCAGGGTCAGTCCCACCCAGATGCCCTCACCGCCAGGCCTGGAACCTCCTCACCTCTAATCTCCAACTGCTCCAAATCCTAACCGGCCCTGAGCTCTTGAGCAAATCATTGCACTTCTCTGTGCCTCAGTTTCCACATCAGAAAAATGGGCATGGCAGCAGTATCTCCCTTCAGAGTTGTTGCAAAAGTATGTTTTGTTTTGAGATGGAGTCTCGCTCTGTTCAGGCTGGAGTGCAGTAGCACAATCTCAGCTCACCTCAACCGCCACCTCCTGGGTTCAAGCCATTCTCTTGCCTCAGCCTCCCAAATAGCTGGGATTACAGAAACCCACCACCACGCCCAGCTAATTTTTGTATTTTTTAGTAGAGACAGGGTTTCGCCATGTTGGACAGGCTGGACTCGAACTCCTGACCTCGGGTGATCTGCCCGCCTCAGCCTCCCAAAGTTCTGGGATTACAGGCGTGAGCCACCGTGCTCAGCCCAGAAGTATGTATTTTAAGACATAGGGTCTGGCTATGTTGTCCAGGCTGCACCGGAAATCCTGGGCTCCAGCGATCCTCCTATCTCAGCCTCCACATGAGCAGGGACTACAGGCAGAGGTTAGATAGTACCTCATGCAAAGGAGGTGCTGGAGAAGTGCTAGCTGTGACTGTTAATGAAATAGTTATTCCTTTAGTCCTCCCCGTAGCCCACCAAAGGTTCCATTTTTGCATTTTAAAAGAGAGTTTGAGACCAGCCATGGTGACTCACGGCTGTAATCGCAGCACTTTGGGAAGCAAAGGCGGGCGCATCACCTGAGCTCAGGAGTTCCAGACCAGCCTGGCCACCACGGTGAAACCCCATCTCTACTGAAAATACAAAAATTAGCTGGGTGTGGTGGTGGGCACCTGTAATCCCAGCTACTCAGAAGGCTGAAGCAGGAGAATTGCTTGAACCTGGGAAGCGGAGGTTCCAGTGATTTGAGATTGCACCACTGCACTGCAGCCTGGGTGACAGAGAGAGATGCCATCTCAAAACAAATAAATAAATAGGAGGATTGAGGCTTAGAAGGGGAAATGGGAAAAAAAATAATAATTCGAGTGAATGGTCACTTATATTGTGCCAGGCATTGTTCTGTGTAGTCTAACAACTCTTTTTTTTTTCCCTGAGACAAGGTCTCCCTATGTTGGCCAAGTTGGAGGGCAGTGGCACCATCATGGCTCACTGCAGCCTTGACCTCCTGGGTTCAACCCATCCTCCTGCCTCAGCCTCCTGAGTAGCTGGGCTATGGGCGCACGCCACCTGGATAATTTTTGTATTTTTTGTAGAGACAGGTTTCTCCATGTTGCCCAGGCTGGGCTCTACCTCCTGGGCTCAAGTGATCCTCCTGCCTTGGCCACTCAAAGTGCTAGGACTATAGGTATGAGCCTGTAGGGAGATAACCATTTTTTTCAGATGGGGAAACACAGACCCAGACACATACCTTAACTTGCTTGGGTTCTCCCACTAGACCTTGATTTTTTTTTTTTTTTTTGGGATGGAGTCTCTCCCTGTCACCCAGGCTAGAGTGCAATGGTGCGATCTCAGCACACTGCAATCTCTGCCTCCCGGGTTCAAGTGATTCTCCTGCCTCAGGCACCCGAGTAGCTGGAATTACAGGTGCTCACTACTATGCCTGGCTAATGTTTTGTATCTTTAGGGGAGATGAGGTTTCACTATGTTGGCCAGGCTGGTCTCGAACCCCTGACCTTGTGATCCACCTGCCTCAGCTTCCCAAAGTGCTGGGATTACAGGTATGAGCCGCTGTGCCCAGCCTCATTAATTCTTTTCCTTGACACTGAGTTTCCCTCTTGACCCCCAGGCTGGAGTGCAGTGGCGTGATCTCAGTTCACTGCAACAACCTCCATCTTCCAGGTTCAAGAGATTCTCCTGCCTCAGTCTCCCAAGAAGCTGGGATTACCGGCATGCGCCACCACACACAGCTAATTTTGTGTTTTTAGTAGCGATGGGGTTTCACCATGTTGACCAGGCCGGTCTTTAACTCCTGACCTCAGTTAATCCACCCACCTCTGCCTCCCAAAATTCTGGGATTACAGGCGTGAGCCACCTCGCCTGCCCTAGGCCCTGATTTCTAAGACTTGGTGGGAAGAGGAGCAGGGCTGTGGAGTTAGTTCTCATGGATGCATTTACTGTGGGACATACCACTGTCACTCTCATTTACAACTGCTGTCATTTTACCTTTATTTCTGTGGTTGTTTGATTAATCTCAGCCTCTCTCATGAGGCTGCAAGCCCCTCAGGATCACAGTTGCTCTCATTCTCAGCTGTGGCTGGGGTACAGTTCCTGGCACATAGGATGGGGTTCATAGATATTTGCAGAATAAATGAATGACTGAATAAATGAATCCACATAGAGGAATACTGTGTAACTCTTCTGTGGTATCAGATAAATGCTTATGATCTCACAGGTGAGATATGGGGCACATTTTATATTATTTTTAAAATTTTTATTTTATTTTACTTTGTTTTTAGAAACAGGGTCTCTGTCTGCTTTCCAGGCTGATCTCAAACTCCTGGGCTCAGGCAATCCTTCTGCTTCAGCCTCCCAAGTAGCTGGGATTACAGGTGTGCACCACCACACCTGGCTAATTTTTGTATTTTGAGTAGAGACAGGGTTTCACCATGTTAGCCAGGCTGGTCTCAAACTCCTGACCTCAGGTGATCCGCCCACCCTGGCCTCCCACAGTGCTGGGATTCCAGTTGAGCCACCTTGCCTGGCCACATTTCATGTAATTTAACTAATTTGGACAAGCACAGTTCTGGGAAGACAAGATAGATAAAGACAAGTGGCAAGGCCAGGCGCAGTGGCTCACACCTGTAATCCCAGCACTTTGGGAGGCCAAGGCGGGTGGATCACGAGGTCAGGAGTGCAAGACCAGCCTGACCAACATGGTGGAACCCTGTCTCCACCAAAAGTACAAAGTCAGCTGGGCGTGGTGGCATGCACCTGTAATCCCAGCTACTTAGGAAGCTGAGGCAGGAGAATCGCTTGAACCCAAGAGGCAGAGGTTGCAGTGAGCCATGATTGCACCACTGCACTCCAGCCTGGTGACAGCGAGAATCCATCTCAAAAAAAAAAAAAAAAAAAGGAAAAACAGCAGCTGGATGCTGAGTGGCAGAGAAGCCAAAGGATCTTCCAGGCAAGAATACTTAACCTCCAGTTTTGAGTGGTTAGCCTGTCTGTTGACGTAAGTCCTCTTGTGTCCCCAAACCTTCAGAAAAGCTCTGTCCACACACTCACAGGCTCACACATATAAATGCCTTGTGTGTGTGGCTGGTTGCATGGAAATCAGAGAAAAGGACTAAATTAGTCCATATGCTCTAAAGTTGGGAACAGACGGAGTGGATTCCCCAAATTGAATGTATCTATAGTGGAAGCAGACTTGGGGATGGAGGCCGGGCGTGGTGGCTCACGCCTGTAATCCCAGCACTTTGGGAGGCCGGGGTGGGCAGATCGCCTGAGGTCAGGAGTCAGAAACCAGCCTGACCAACACGTCGAAACCCCGTCTCTACTAAAAATACAAAAATTAGCCCGGTGCAGTGGTGGGTGCCTATAATCCCAGCTACTTGGGAGGCTGAGGCAGAAGAATTGCTTGAACTCGGGAGGCGGAGGTTGCAGTGAGCCGAGATCAGGCCATTGCACTCCAGCCTGGGCAACAGAGGGAGACTCCGTCTCAAAAAAAAAACCACTTGGGTGTGGAGAATGTGAAGCTCCGGAGAATTAGCAGAAACCTGGGGAGGGCGATCATCATCCCACGGCTGGAGAATGGGGTTTGAATTAATATTATATAGATCCTAACAGGGAGTTCCCAGCTGACATCTGGAAACAAGGATAGCCAAGAGGCACTTCTGCCTAGTAGGCAAACTGTAATTTTTCTCTACATTTCTCTTTGTTTAGGAAAATGCCCTTGGGGGCGAAAGGTGAATTGCTATGGATGTTTAAGTGGGAAGAAAGTGGAGTTTCTAGAGTTAGATTGAGGGGGAGGAACGGAGGGGCTGGGACTGGGAGAAGATGGAAGGAAGGTCTCCAGGGGTCCTTAGAGGACAGATGGGAGTGGAAGGAGAGACTCAAGTTGCATTTTGGAGAAAGCTAAAAATCAAGGCTTCCAGTGGTGGAAACAGTTGGGAGATTTCAGGGAGAGGAGAGCTAACAGCACTGACTTTCAATGGTTTGCTCAGTTGTTCTGGGATAGACTGCCTCCCTCCCCCCACATCTACCTCACCATCCCCTCATGGTCCCTAAATGTCTATTAAAACTCAGCCATGGACATGGTGGCTCGCCTCTCTAATCCCAGCACTTTGAGAGGCTGAAGTCGGCAGATCGCCTGAGGTCAGGAGTTTGAGACCAGCTTGCCCAACATGGTGAAACCCCCATCTCTACTAAAAATACAAAAGATTAATAGCCGGGCGCAGTGGCTCACGGTTGTAATCCCAGCACTTTGGGAGGCCAAGGAGGGTGGATCACGAGGTCAGGAGATGGAGACCATCCTGGCTAACACAGTGAAACCCCATGTCTACTAAAAATACAAAAAATTAGTTGGGCGTGGTTGCACTGCCTGTAGTCCCAGTACTGGGGAGGCTGAGGCAGGAGAATCACTTGAACCTGAGAGGTGGAGGTTGCAGCGAGCCGAGATCCCACCACTGCACTCCAACCTGGGTGACAGGGCGAGACTCCGTCTCAAAAAAAAAAAAAAAAAATTAGCCAGGCACAGTGCCGTGCATCTGTAATCCCAGCTACTCAGGAGGCTGAGGCAGGAGAATCGCTTGAACCATGCAGGTGGAGGTTATAGTGAGCCTAGATTGCACAACTGCACTCCAGCCTGGTTGACAAGAGCGAAACTCCGTCTCAAAAAAAAAAAAAAAAAAAAAAAAGCCATTCCAGAGGCCCTGGCTCATGCCTGTCATCCCAGGACTTTGGGAGGCTGAGGCGGGAGGACTGC